AAGCTCTCTACCTTCCCCTGAAAGCTACTTAAATGTTTCTTCACTTCTAAAGAATGATAAACAAGTCCTTACTGACAGAATATCACGACTACCTCGACCTTCCTTTCCCATTGGGGCCTGTTGGTGTATGAAATGATGACCAGCCCAGCCATCTCAAAAGGTTTTAGTTTTAATCTCAGGTGGTTGCACCTTTATTATGGTGCCTGTGGTGGACTGGGTGACTGGCCTTTCCCTGACACCCCACTGGTGTGGTTTGTGACCACCTCCATGCACTGAATCTGGAGCATCCTGTGGTACCCTTCTCCCATGTCTATACTGCAGTCAATGGGAAGGCATCTGAGATGGCAAAAGAGGTTGGAGTAAGTATCACAAATCAGCCCATAAACCTCTGCTTTCTGAAAATGGTATTTCCAGAGCTTGAGACAATGTAGGAGCTCAAGGAGAAAAAGTGTACCGCTGGGGTGCTGCCACACCTTCTGCATTCTGGCTGCTATCTTGGTGCCTTTTCACTGCAGTGCACTATCAGGGGTGATCCTCCCTTCTCTGAGGCTTCCAGGCCTGACATGAGGGACAGGCAGGGAATGAGAACTGAATGTCTGGTGTCGCTTGATGTCAGCATCCCTTGCTACAAGGGACCAAAATAAAAAAACCTCATAGGTAATGAAATGTGAGGGTTCACAAGGAAACTTTTGGGAAGAGAAGTGATAAGTCTATATAAATTAGGAAGGTAAGGAACTGAGGATTAACAATATTGTTTTACACACAGTGGTTGCATTAGAATCAATTGTATTCTGGTGTTTGTAGTTAATAATTGACTTCTAGTTGCAAGTAGAAGGAAAGAATTCATGTCAAAAAGCCAAGAATGTACAAGAGCTTTTTAGAGAAAAGCAGAAAAAGAAAAAAATAAAAAACAAACCCTCAACCAGACCTATATTTTCTGTGGATTTTTTTTTCTTCCATGGCAGCTGCAAAACCAGCTCAGTTTGTGTTGAGTGTATTATCCTGTGAACAACAGGGTCCCATTAGCTCTGTCAGAAGGCCAATACCCTCTATACTAAAAACCTCTTGATTCAGCACATTTCCCTGTCACAGAGTAAATTTCTGCTTGACTCCATTGAAGAAATAATTTTAAATCTTGAAACATAAAAACTATTACAGCAGGGAAAAAAAAGTTTCTTTTCCCCTCTCTTTGCATTAATTGCAGACATCAAACACCACATTGCAGTTCAGCATATAGAAGAATGTTGTAGCAAATTAAAAAAAAAAAAAGATATACTGAGGGAAAAAAAAAAGAAAGGAAGGGATTATATGGCAGTAATAAATGTATTCTTTTCTTTATAAACACATGTGTGGTGTAGATTTGAGTCTGTGGGACAATTCAGGAAACAAATGAAAAGATAAGTTTTGGGTTAAAACTCAGCAGATTTCAAAGTGCATTGTTTATACCCTCTGCAGTGCAATAAAGCTTATCAAGAACTTTTCTAGTGGATACAAGAGTCAAAAGAAATAAGAGGAATGTGAACAGTATGCTTCCTTTGGGTTGCTACAATATCTGTAATTCTTTCAGCACAGATTTCCCATGTTAGTTTAAGCTCTGTCTCACAATGATCATTTTTTAGCAGATAATCGTAAATACTTTACTGCGCTGACTGAGTTGTTCAAAAATTTGCCATCATTTCACTCTCCACAAGCTCAAAGCATGTGGCAAGTTCAAGGGCCCTTAATTAAAAATATAATAATTTCATTCTAGAAGCTCTTGCTTGCATCCTGGTAATACTCAGGGATAAATCAACTGCTGATGTAAATGCAATTAATTTCTGTGTAATTTCATTTAGAAGCTACAAGAGTACTACATTTTTATTTAATTATTTGAATGTGCTTTCTGTAAGGGGGAGTAGGATCACCTCCCCCTTACAGAGGGGAGAGCTGAACCTGGGAAGTGAGAGGCAGAGATTTGACCAGCCCTTGGTAAAAGCTGGGAGAGCATGCAAGCCTCTCACTCTGATCTGCATTTGTGCTTTCAGCAAGAACCAGGACATGGAAACGACACACGAAGTACCATACATTTCAAGCACAAGATTTGGCTCTAGATCACCAGACCTCCAAGCTGCAATATTTCCTAGGCAGAATGTACTTCTGCCCCTCTCGTAAATTGAGAGGTCAATTTTTGTCTTCTTTTCCTATTTTGCTCTTGTAAGGGAAGACAGCATGGCATGTTTGTTAGAACTATAATGTTGCATTTGCTAATTAAATAAAGTGGGGTTTTTGGGAGAACTTCTTTTAAGTAAAACCATGTGTTCCAGGGAGGAAACATTCTTCTGGTAAACAGCTGAGCCCTTAACATTTAGCAACATAACTCTGTGTTTGCAGCTATTGGAAACTGTGTGACCGAGGAAGCCTGTGTTTCTGAGACTGAGGACTGAAAGCATTTTGCTTGCTGTCAGAACGCCAACCCTTTCTTTTATGTATACGCTAAAAGCAAGAAAGAACCAACTATTGGATGGTTGCTTCTTATGGTTTTAATAAAATTTGTCTCATATCAAAACGCTGCTGGGTTTTAATGTTGATGCCGCACTGAGCAATGTTCTCTGCTTAGGCACAGCTAGCTCTTGCTTTCCAGAAATGTAGCTGCAGCCTGGCATTACTTGCATAAATTGGGGCCTTAAATAATTTCCTCACCCCTCTTACCTGTGCCAGGAAGGACCCTCCATGCCTAGACCTCCTCGCTGGTACAAAGAAGGGGGTCATTCCTCCTCCCTCCCCATCTGGTGTGTGAGCAGTGCTGCAGTGGCATGAGGTAGCTAGGGAACAGAAGTTACCTGCCAGACATGAACAGCAGCCCTGGAAATCTCAGGGGAAAAAAAAGATAATAGAGCTGGAAACTGCAAGCAAAAACAGGACTGAGAGAATAGGAGTGCCCTGTACCTGGCTCCTGCTTTCCATTCCAAGAGTCCACATCTTTCAGAGACACTCAAAGGGCCACAGGCTGCGGGACAAATCCTGCTGAGGGGAAGCAGGGAAGTTTCATTTGTATAAATTATTTCCCGAGCAGCATTAGGGAGCAGGGAAGGCTGGCTGGGTGAGTTTGAGATCTTACACTGTTTCTCTATCCAGCAGCTGGAAGGGGAAGGCCACAGTCCCAGCTCTCTCTGGGCCGAAGGAGATTATTATTCCTCTGCCTGCTCATCTCACTGAAGCTGGACTGCTGAGCTCTGGGCATCACATTGACCTTTGCAGTACAAAGGGATCTTATCTTGTTCTTTGTAGCCCTCAAAGCAGCTGGGCATGCTTACAAATTTCAGTAACTACCAGCTAAGGCCAAACAAGATCCCACGATAAAACTTCAAGGCTCTGCATTCCTCTCTTATTGCTTTCCTGAGCAGATTCTCATTTTAACTGGACTTATGGTCCTTTCATCCAGTTATCTTAAAGTACATAATGACTACTGTAATTACTGACAATAGTGAGCTAATCAATTCTTCTAGGCATTATTTTCAAGGGATAAATATTACTATCCTTGCTGTAAGAATGGGGAAACTGAAGCAAAGAGAAGTTTTTGAATGAATAGGTGTGTTTTACTTTTAATATTATAATATCCTCCTGGTTTTATTTTTATAAGTTTATGCATTTGCTTCTTAGTATGCTTTATGTTCTGTTATTGCTTTCCAGTAATGTTATCTGTCATGGGTTGTGTGCATGTACCAAGGTTCATTTAAGAAAACTGCAGTGATTTGAGAAAAGTTAACAGATATTGAATAGTTTTTTTGTCATTGTTTATATATATATTTGATTTATCATAACCCTACTTTCCTGGCTTTTCCTTTTCTTCCTCCTTCTTTTATTTTTTGGTGCCTTTTTTAGGAAAATACCACAAATAACATTCTTTTCTATTTGTTTTCCATATACTTCAGCTTGCATTTAAATCTCTAATCTGGAAAGCCAACTGAATATGACCTTTTAATGCCTAAAGAACTAAGATATTCTACTGGGCAGGAAGCTTGCGAGGCAGAACTATGGCTTTACTAAAGTATCAGTTAATCACTTATAGATATATAATTAATATTCAGAAGACATATGTTGGTTTGGTAACATTTATGTAAGAGTTTAAGTTTTCCACAGTTCAGGTATGCATCCCTGAACCCTTTTCAAGGATAGACAGAAAGGTAGCCAGACCAGAGGGTAAGCTGCAACAAAAACAAACAAACAAAAACCCAACAAACAAACACTTTATTTTGTTTGTCAGCACAATTTCAGGTGAACTGAATGGTAGGATCTAGTCTCTAGATAGGAACAAGTGTCTCAAAACTCTTATTTGAAACATTTTATTTGCTCCAAACTTGTTGTTTAGTAAGGGCCTGACTTCTAAAAGCATTTAGGTGTTTATGTGCACTTCAGCATCTTTATAAAGCCAGCACCAATTCCTTATTGGACTGTAGTCGAAGGGTCTCCAGATAGTCTGACAACTTTATATTGACTTATTTCAGTCTACTTCTAATTCTAATGAGACCAAAAAGTTAAAGTAAGTCTCAGGTGTGTTAAAAAATTGCTTCACAAACAAGAGAAACAGTCAATCTGGAAAAAACAAAACAAAACAAAACAAAAACCTGAGGTAACATAAAATCTCTATAACTGGCATATTTTGGGAAATTTAGAAACAATAAAAGGCAAAAAACCTGTGAAAACCACTAACATAGTTTCTAAGGTGTCACTGTTAAGTTTTAGGCTGTTAGCCCTGACAGCTTTAGTTTTGAGGCTTTCTGCACTACACATTATTTTCCTGAGGCTTATTTGTAGTGGCAAGGCTCTCTCCACCTCTCTTAACGTACTGCCTATGCATTCAAGAATTTTCAGGAAGGCTAAATCCAATCTTTGGGCATTTTTGGAGTGGTTTGTGTTTTCCTTTTTGTGCTGGGGAGACAAGAACAATCTTGTTTAAAATAAAACCCAAACAAGGGAAGCTGAAGAGTGGGAGTATGTGAGGGAGCTGGTGAATAACTTACAGGGCTGTGAATCTCCTCCTGCCAGTAGGCTCCTCTTGTAGGCTGCAGTATTGATTCTGTGTTTAGTCTAGGCTCTTCCCAAATACCTGCTGCGGCTCTTACGTGGATTGCAGAGAGCTCGGCCCTGAGGGTGAGCGGCAAGGGAAGTCCTCCTCGCAAATGTCCGGTTTTGGATCAACACCCCCTGATTCTCCATGCAAAACATGCACGTGCCTGCATTTCCCTTCCACTCCTATCTCGTAATGGTGCGCGGCCCGACGGAGTCCAAACGCACCGAAGGGAAATGCCGGGATCGGGCATTTCCTCACGGATGAGCCCTCAGAGATTTGAGGAAAACTCGTGGCCCGTAACCTCTGGGACGGCTCGGGGGCTGAGAGGGCTGGCGAAGGACCGCGCCAGTGTCACCTATGCCTGCGACAGCCCCTCTGATGGGCGGGAGCGCTGTCAGGACTCTGCGATCCCTCGTACCGTGCCCTGCGCCGTCCCCGGCACACGCTGGGGCCTGGCAGAGAGCGCGGGGCTTGTGGGCTTATTTATCCTTTGGCGTTTGGGGATTTTTGTCTGTTTTGTAACGCCGACGGGAGCCTGAGGCAGCTCTGGGCACCCCCGGGATGGGCAGTGCCGAGCGTCCCCGGATTAGGAGGAATTTATTCACAGAAAGGGCAGTTAAGCATTGGGAGCTGCCCGGGGAGGTGGAGGAGTCTCCGTCTCTAGGGGTGTCTAACGAAAGACTGGATGTGGCACTCAGTGCCACGGTCTGGCTGACATGGTAGTGTTCGGTCACGAGCTGGACTCGATGATTTCAGAGGTCTTTTTAAATCTAATTTATTATGCGACTGTGTGATTCGCACATCCACTCGCCCACCTCGGGGGCCTCGGGGTGCGGGCTCCGCTCCCCAGGCCCTCTGCTCGCTGGCCGGGTGCTGCCATGTCTGTGGCGCAGCACGGCCCGGGACCGGCGGCAGGAGGGCCCCGCCCGCCGGCGCCGCGGGGAACCGGCCGGGATCCGGCGGTCGGGAGGGAAGGAAGGAAGGGGGGCGGCGGCGAAAGAACCGCGCTCTTCCCGCCGGCGCCTCAGCCCACCGGGCCGGGCAGCAGGCACCGGGTGGTGCAGCAACAGACCGGGGCGGCCACAAGGTCCGGCCAGGCTCCCCTGGGCCTACGCCGCGCACTTTTGGGCCGACAGATAAGGCCGTATGGGGCGGGGCAGGAAGAAGGAGCCTTTTTTTTTTTTTTTTTTAAGGGAAAAACCCTTCGCCTTTAAGGGGCGAGGCCAGCGGAGTTTGCGGAAGAGCCCGGAGAGAGACGAGCGCTGGTTGGGTAAATGCGGTCTCGTGACGGCGGCTGGGGCGGTGCCACTCCCCCCACCCCGCCGGCGCCCCGCGTTCCATTGTGTGCGCTAACGCCGCCGGACCCGCCCCGCCGTGTCCCCGCCCACAGAGCTGACCACGCCCCCGCTGGCGGCCCCGCCCCCCGTGTTCTCTTGGCTCATTTCCGGCCGCCGCCGCCACCGCCGCTTCCCTCCGAGGGCTCGGGAGAGCGAAGGAACAACAGCCGCCATTTTGTTTGTGTGTGAGCGACGGAGGGAGGAGAAGGGAGCGAGAGGCCGAGCCGGACGGGGCGAGGCAGGGGGAGGGCAGCGCACAGAGACCCAGGGGCACGGACAGGGGACGGGGAGAGAAGCGAGGAATCCAGACGTCCCCCCCCCCCCACCCCAGCCTGCCCGTCCCCTCGCTATTCCTTCTCTTTCTGTTTCCTTTTCTCTCTTCTCCTTTTCCCGGAATTCTCTCTTCCCGCACTGCCCTCCGCCCCCGCTTTGCCCGCTCCGCACACACGCCCCCGGAGCGCCAGGCAGGGGCAGTAGGGAGCCTGCGCTCGGCCCCCGCGCTGCCGCCGTCCCGCCCCGGCCCCCCCCGCCGGGCAGCGCCGGGGACCCCCTCCCCCGCCCGGCCATTCCGGGGCGAATCCCCCGGCCTTCCCCGCCGTGATTTTTCTCCTGTTTTATTATTTTAATTTTACCTCTCGATCCTCTTCTCCGAGGGGTAGCTGCGCGGCCTCCCCTCCCACCCCGACTTCCAACCTCTTCGCTCCCTTCCCCACCCTCGCAGAGGCGAAGGGGGAGTCCCCACCGCGCCCGAACAACAGCCGAGGGTCTCCTCCCTCACTCATCGCGCCCTGCATCGCCCGTGGGTCCGGGGGAGCTGGGACGGGCAGCCCCCTCCCTGCCACCATCCTCGGCCGCCCGGGAAGGGGGAAGGTAGGCAGAGAGGGCGGGAGGGGCCGGCTTCTTCCTCCTCCTCCTGCCGCTGCTGTGGGATCGGCCCCTCTGCCTGCGCCGGAGCGGGGGGGCAGCCTGCTACTGCGAACGAGAGAAAGAGGAAGGGGGAAGAAGAGAAAAAGAGGGGGCAGAAAGGGTGTTGAAACCCGCCCCCCACCTTCCCATCCCGCGATCGGTGCTGCCTCCATCAGGACAACAACCCCTCCTCCTTCCCTGCACAACAAGATGTGAAGCGGAGACTCCTGGGACTTATCCTCACCCTCCTCATCCTTACAGCTCCCCTTTCTGCAGCCATTAGCGACGGGCGAGGAAGAAGCGAGTGGAGCTGGGGACCCCGCGCACGCTGTGCCACTCCCCCCCGCCGCCTCCCCCCCAGCCCTGTCGCTGGCGGTGGGTATTTTTTCGCAGGGTGGTGTTGGAGGGGGAAGGAGCCGCTGCTAGAGGACGGTGATCTTTTTTTCTTTTTTCCTCCTCCTCTCCTCTCCTTCGCCCGCCTCCTTGTGGCGATGAGGAGGAGGAGGACGGCGCCGAGGAGGAAGAGGCTGATGGCGGCGGTGAGGAGGCAGCAGGAGGAGGAGACCCCCCGAAGGATGAAGATGATGATGGTGGCGGCGGCGAGGAAGCACCAGCACAACAGCCGGGATTAATTTTACTAAAAAAAATTTAAATATTCACCAGCCTCCATTTTTAATTTTTTTTTTTTTTTTTTTTTTTGGCGGGGGCTTTACCTGCTCTTCCCATCTTCGTTCAGCCCTTTCGCCTGGGGGAAGAGGCCTCACCCCCGCCCGCCCCAGCTCCCACCTCTCCCAGCTTCTCTGCTGCCGCCCTCCCAGAGCCCGAGGAGCAGAAAAAGGGGAACTTGGCCCCCCTTCTCGGCCAGATCGTCCTCCTCGCTCGGCCTTATTGTTGTTCTTCAGCTGACTCCGGGCCCCAGAAGAACGTGAAGGTTTTGGGGCTCACCCCCCACCTTCTTTCTGCTTTGAACGATTGTCTAAAAAATTAAAAATGGCCGAGAATGTGGTGGAGCCGGGCCCGCCTTCAGCCAAGCGGCCTAAACTCTCCTCACCGGCGCTCTCCGTGTCCGCCAGCGACGGCACAGGTCAGTCTCGGGGCCCCAGAGCCTCCCCGCTTCTCGGTGCCGCAATTACTGCCCTTTTCTCCCCTGTTTTGCTTAAATCTCCTCCTCCCTTTTGCTGCTGTTAGCTCGAGCCTGCTTTTCTCCTTCCTGTCTGTTTCGCCTGTTCTCGCTCCGTTTGAAGCTATTTGCGTTAATGGCATTGGGAGGGTGTTCGGATGTTTTTGCCCTTCTGGTTTTTTGAAGTGATTGAGAGCAAAGCTATTCAGTTTATTGTGTTTTTGATCAGCTGCAGATAGGACTTAACAGTTCGTCATTTTCGTGTCTTTCACAATAGTAGCTTAGCTCCTTGCTAAGCATAATGCCAGTTGCAGAAATACGAAGTACTGCTAAAGACGATGGTTTTGTACACTTTATTGTTGAATTACGTGTATGTGCACAAGTTTCTTGGTTTTGTATTTTATCTTGCATATACGGGGTTCTTCTAGAGCTTGTTTAAAAACGAGAGATTTATTTATCTTGCTGTTTTTTCTTATATGCAGTCTGCTTATGTGATTTACTTCTTACAATCCTCCGTTCTTCTTCCTGTAGAAGTGTATCAAAATACTGCTTTCTGATTCAAATAGACCATCGGCTTTAGGAAAAACAGCTAAAACCAAAATTCAGATGCCATGCTTGTGGCATAAGGTTTATTGAGACTCTTATCTTCTTAGAGATGAAATTTTATTTCACCTTATTTGCCTTAAGAATCAATATGGAGTGTAGTTAATCTTGCATCTCCTGTTTCTTTGCTGCAAGACCAAAATGTCTGAAATTCCCCTGTAGACTTAAGAGCTGTGAAGAGAAAAGGGGCTTCTCTGCAGTCCTGCCAAGGTCTTTGGTGATGCTGGGAAGGCAAGCTAGGACATGGAAATTTTAGGTGACCCAGTCCCCAGCAATATGAACTGGTTGTACTGGGAGGGGGGTAGAAGTAACAAAGGGCTGTTTTTTAATGTTTCTTGCAAAGCAGGTGAGTATTTGGTGTCATTTTGCTATGAGAATACTCTGTTACCTGGAGTTTCTTTGGACTCACATTAGTTCCCATTAGATCACATTAGAAACTGTTAACCTATGGGACATGGAGGAGACCTCCTCCTGCCAGTCTAGTGAGTGGTGGCATTTCTGAAGGCACCCGTGCTCTTGTTCAATGCAGTTAACAACTGGCAAGAAAAGGGAAGAGTTGTTTTCTTGTTGTTGGTTTTGGGGGTCTTTGTTTTGTTTTTTCTGAAAAGTTCTTTGACAATTAACAAGAGATTTTAATAGCAGGTCTTTGAGCAGTGGATGTGGTTCTACTTGGGATCATCTCCAAAATTTTGATTTTGCCTATTCTATTCTCGGTGAATGCTGTATTAGTTTTGAAAAGTTTGTGTGTGACTTTTAGTGCATATTAAATGCAGCCAATATTATGTTGTAATTGGAGGACATGACTATTCCTAACATTAACGGGTCTCTAGTAAGAGAGTAGAAGAGAGTTGGAGAAACTACTCTTAAGCGAGAACTAGTTGTTGGCTGTTTTTTTGCTAGATTTGGAAAACAGTGTTTAATTCAATAGTAACCGTTTTAAAGTTGTCTTGATAGTAGCTATTTGGCTCTGTTTAGAGAGGTGAAATAAAAATATTTTGTGGTAAAAGTTCTGATACTTTAAAAATATGAAAGTTAAAGGCATAGTTTGAGTCAAATGAACACACATCTAAGTTCAGACATTTGTGAGCAAATAAAGGTTGGCTAATTTGTGTATGTATTTCAGTTTAACAGATGTAGACTCTCACAGAATACTTAGTCTTTAGTTGTTAATTTACTGGACAGCTTTTTATAGTATATAAATGAACTTTTTACATTTTTTGTGAAACACTAGGCATTGGACAGTTTCAGTATGTTTCAGACAGTTTAAATTTTTCCCAAAGTGATTGGGACTGTCATCACCTGATAGCAATGCTAAGGTTTATAGTGGTGCAAACACTTCATGTGTGCTATATAAGACCTATTAAAGATTTCTTAATCTTGTGGCTTTTTTTTTTTTTTTTTTTTTTAATTGCCAAGCAATTATGGGACAGTTTTACTTTCTGTGTTTTTTTAACATGACATATAATATCTATTTCTGTGAATAAAATCCAACCTATGAACCAGTGAATGTATTTTGAGGGTTATATGGTTGTATTTTTCTCATTTGCTGCTTGAGACTGCAGTTTTTGTCCTGCTTCTGTTGTGGGAAACTACTTTGAAATTTAAAATTTTTTAACCTCTCTGCTAGTTAAATTTGCTTTGAAATAGTGTAAGCAGCTGTCATGAAGTAAATTCCACTTATAGAAACTTGTATTGTCCCCACTCCTCGGTTAATTATAGGAAATAAGTAACATGGTAGTTATGTACTTACTCAAGCACTCTTTTTAAAACTGTTCAATTCTTAGCACTATCAGAAGGAAGGAGAAAGGCAGGACACTTGCACTGTTGATGAAACTTATTGCAGCAGCTGTGCATAGTGCTGTTTTTGCTGTTAAATTTTTGATTAGTTTCTTTCTAAAATGTTCTGAACAGTTTTAGTTTGTTAGATATGTAAAAATGATAACTGACTCCTATTAACGTTATTCCCAAAGTTGCAGATGTTACGTATATTTATATTGAAGACCAAGAGGAATCTCTAACTCATGTTTTCACTGTAGACCTGGATGATACTCATATTCTGGGCCTGGACTGTACTAAACTCTAATATTGGTGG